CCCCCCCCCCGAAAAAAACTATCGCATTGAACTTCCGCCACGTGGTCCGGACACGTACGGAACGCGATCGTTCACGCGTCCGATTCCCCGACGTTGACTGTTTTCGCTTGTGTTATAGTTTGAAAATACAGATCAGTTATCTCCATCAAAATTCTTTTCGCGTAAAAAAGTCAACATGCGTATAAAAACAATGAATACGTTTTGTAGAAAATTAAACACAAAGATGAAAAGGCGTAAAAGTAGGATGACGGAAACTACTCAATGGATTCAGACAATACCTGTGGGAGAACAACAAGTATCTTTCGTGAGCGATAGTAGTGGCCGGGGCCATGAAATTATCCCTTTCCCGCTCCCCAGGACGTCTTTGACGTTGGAAACTGCAAGAAACAAAAACCATGGACGCTTCTAAGGTAAAGTCTGTACGTTTTCGCTCTCATGATAAAGGGAGTACTTGTTTCTGGCCTGTGGTAAACAAGTTGTTCACTTCAGCGCCCGATCTAGTGTTTACATTTTTAGATTTTGCATTATCTCAACACTTTTCCTAGCAGTGTTAAGATTTGATGTCCTTTGCCGTGTCAGTCGCCCTTGCCCATCATTGGGTTAATTTGACGATGTCTCTTTCCTTTAAATTCACATTCAGTTTCAAATGGTCTTGAAGGGAACCCGTTTTAAACATGCACTCACTGCTTTAATTGCTAAATGTTATTATGAACAGTCATACGTAATAGCATGAATGAGAATTTGGTAATTTTGGTAATTTTCTATATCACGTCTGCCGGTCTGACATCGACAATTTTGGTGTTGTTGGATTCCTAGCACTGTACATAATAGGAATGTGTAGGTTTTATTGCTGGGAAACCCCCCTTAGCAACAACATATGTACAGCAGGATAGAGCGTTACACAATTATAGAGGTAATGGAACATTTCCACAGAGGCAGCATAGTAACCTATGGCATAGTCAGCATTGTATACTGAGAAGATTGTAGTATAATCCAGATGAACAGAAGTGGCGATGGCCCACTCTCCTCGGCGGGAAGTGCGCAGCTTCAGAGGGAATGCTGCTAGCCTTGGGAGTGGTGGTTACGTAAGATGATCCCCTGCATATGGGCCAGCTTGGCGTATGATATCCCCTGGCCTGCTTAGCTCCCAGGCCGCATGGCACCGGTTGCTCCAAGGGAACAGCTGTCAATTTCACTTTGCATCATATGATGCCATCCCGCGACCATTGGGTTTACTTAAACTTAGACACTTTTCATTTATGGCAAAAGGTGTGCAAATCGAAATACATGATAGAGAAGAGAGAAGATTGAACCATCCTTTTCTGTCCTTCACGATGTTGAAATCATTAACCCATTCACACCGGTATATTTTGAAGCCAAAAATAAAATATTCCGGGCGGCTACAAAATCGGAGGGCAGAGCATCCCAGAGTCTGTCCGCCCACCGGCCGCGGCTTGCTGCTGTGTCGGAGTGCGAGCCCCAATACAGTGTCACACTGGTGGGACGCCTGGCAATGTGTATTTTTTCGGGTGTCTCATAAATGGGACACCTGTTGCTAATGGCTTAAGATAAACATTACTATGACAGCATTACTTATTACTGTGATCTGTCAGGTAGGTCATGTATTTCTACATGCTTGTGAAAATGATTATTTTATATTTTTCAACCTGCCAATTCATGTATTCTATTTTTTTATTTATTAAACTTCCTTAATGTGAATTGATAGTTATTTAAGCTATTCTCTACAAAAACCTGTGCACGCATTTTTGCCACTGGGACTTTTGATACCCTGAAATGTCATTCCCTGATAACCTGCCGTTGAGAAATGTTTAATTTTCATTATTGTCTAAAGCAATATAGTGATTATGCAGAGGAAATAGATACTAGTAACTATCACAGCTTGATATGTGAGTCCATCAAGTCTACAAGTACCAAGAAAAGAGGTTAGAAATCAAGCATTGTAGATAGTAGACAGAAGACAAGGAAATTTTGGTTTCACTTTATCAAGGGATGTGGGTTAATCTTTTTGGTATGGAGGCAGTGCTATTTCACTGTGCATACCAAGCAGAAGAGAATGATGGCTGGGAGATATTGGGTAGCGGAGCCCCCATCAACCCTCCCCTCACTGTGGCAGTCTCTTCCAATTCATTTGCCATGTGGTTTTCAGTTGTCAGGTGTCATAATTGGTCGATTAGTACTATTTCCTTAAGAGAATTATTATGATTATTATTAGAATTAAACATATATATGAAAGACAGATCCATTTCTGAAGGTTGATGCAAGTGTCATTTTTACTATATTATTTCTCTTGTTATTATCATCACCATCTCCTGCTCCTCCTCCTCTTCCTCCTTCTCCTCCTCCTTTTCCTTCTCCTTCTCCTTCTCCTTCTACTTCTCCTTCTCCTCTTCTTCCTCATTTTCCTCCTGTTCCTACTCTTCCACGTTCCATTTTTACTATCTTATTTCTCTTATTATCATTCTCCTCCTCTCTCCTCTTC